TCCCAACAGTCCCAACACCATCATCCTTGGGCGTCCTAGCAATCATGGATTTTTCATCAAAGGTAACGTCCCTGCTGATCACGAACTTCAAATCTTCTGTACACCAAAGACGGTAGCCTTTTACGCCCTTTGCATACCTTAAGAATATCGCCTTCTTGGCCCTCGCGTCAAGCTTTTCCTCGTTGACGTGATAATAGGCGGTACATCCGAAAATTCTGAGCCTCTCATAATCCGCATGTTCCCCTGACCACACCCTATAGGGTGTATCACCATCCAATGTCGAATGTGGAGAACGGTTCATAATGTAACATGCTGTAGCCACCGCTTCTGCCCACCATTCGTTGCCCAATCCAGCATAAGATCGCATACTCATTGCCTTCTCCCGCAATGTTCGGTTCAGTCTCTCAGCGACCCCGTTTTGCTGTGGTGTTGACCTGACTGTCCAGTGTCGAACAATGCCCTCTTGATCACAGAACTTCTTGAAAGCACCATCTGTATACTCTGTACTGTTGTCAGATCTTAGTGTCTTCAATTTCTTGACCGTCCTGTTCTCAACCATTGCTTTCCACTTCTTGAATGTCTCGAATACCTTGTTCTTATGCTTAAGAAAATAAATCCAAGCATACCTCGAATGATCATCTATGAACGAGACAAAATACCTGGAACCACCCTTGGAAGTTGTCTGAGCCGGACCCCAAACATCCGTGTGCACATAATCTAGTATACCTCTGCTCTTGTGATTGCTTTTCAAGAATTGGACCCTGTGCGCCTTTCCATACACACAATCCTCACAAAAATCCATACAAGGTTTCTTCAGATTCTTCAGCAAGCCCTCCTTACCAAGCAGAACTAGACCCTTCTCTGACATGTGCCCAAACCGCCTATGCCATAACCGTGTGTGCTCACATGGGTCTCCACCACTTCCTTCAGTTCCAACCGCTGCATCTCCTGTCACCGTCGTACCCAAGAGAGTATATAGATTACCGTGACGAACACCTTTTCTCACTGTTAGGGAACCTCGAACAACCTTCTTCACTCCGTTCTCTGTAACAATCTTGCAGCCACCGGAGTCCAATGCACCCACTGAGATAAGATTCTTCTGCAAGTCGGGAACGTGCCGCACGTCTGTTAGGGTTCTGACCACTCCATCATGCATCTTGATTTTTATATCACCGAGCCCCACCGTTTGGGCACATATGGTAAGAGCAACCCGGATCAAGTATCCACTTACCGGAGATATTTTCGCTACCCGTAACAACATAGCATTCTTTATCACTCCCTTCCTCGGATGCGTAACTCGCCTCTTCCTTGCCTTCTCTTCTCTCGGTCTTGTTGTTGTTCTTTTTCCCACCTACTCTCTTGTTAGGACAGTCGACCTTGAAATGCCCAACTTCACCGCATTTGAAGCACGCTCTTCCCGCAAGGGGTCTCGATTTAGATCTAGACTTTCCTCCCTTGCCTTTTCCTCGCTCGTTGCCCCTTCCTCTAGCAAACAATCCCTGCGCTTGTTCTTTGTTACCACCAGTAGTCATGTCACTGGTTGCAATCTTTCGAAGGTCATCCGCTAGAAGCGCCGTTCTAGTCTCATCCATCGTCAAATTGTCTCCCACAAGCATCAGTGTTTGCACCAGGTTCTCATAAGACTTCGGTAGAGATAGAAGTAGTAGAAGCGCCTGATCCTCGTCTTCTACAGTCACATCGATGTCCTTCAAATCCGATATTATCCTATCGAACTTGTTGATGTATTCCCGGATTGATGAGCCCTCCTCCATCTTGCAAGTATACAATTTGGATTTCAAATAAATCCGGTTCTTTAGACTCTTCGTCATGAAGGTGGTTTATAACTTTGACCACACGCCCGCAGCCGTTTCCTCTCCATCTACCAAGAAAGCTACATCCCTTTCAAGGCAAAGGATAATCGACGCCCGTGCTTCCAGATCCAGCTCCTCCCAATCATCATCAGACATATCCTTGTGCTTCTTCTCTTTTCCCGCCAAAGCTTTGCGAAATCAATGTGTTCTTCATCTGCATCCTCCAATAGGAAAAATCATTCTTCCCATTGAATTTTTCAATCTCGTATTTTCCCACTTTAACTGTTTTACTTGTTGACGCCATTCTCCGCTTGTATTAATAGATCCGCTTCTCTCAGGAAATTGCCGAGCACTACCTCAAATCAGAAGCTACACCACTCCCAATCTGAATAACAGCTCTGATACCAATTGTTGGGCGCAGAGTCACGCCCACCGCCGCGGAAAGCGATATCACCTGAGAGAAAGCCCTGGCTTTTGTTGTCACAAAAGCACAAGTCAACATCTATATTCTTGTTTCTCAAAGGAAACGAGAATAGATAGTGAAATTCTTATTTCTCAAAGGAAACAAGAATCGAAAGTAATATATTTCATCAAAGTGAAATATACACTCTTCCTCTCATCAGCTCTAAGACCGATAATCTGTTACAATTGCTGAATACAATTGTTGAATACTTGCTACAGGAACACTAAATTTCAAATCTCAGTCTTATACCATGAGTTGTTACCAGTCTCTCAGCAAGTGCCATGGCATAATACTGTTTGGGATCAATTGTGCTATCCTAAACATTCATTTATTAGTTGGCTTGCTGTTTTGAACAAATTGCTTACTAAAGACAGACTAATGAAGAGGGGGTTAACAAATATCGGTTCTTGCTGCTTATGCTCAGGAGCTGTGTTGGAAGACAGGAACCATCTTTTCTTTTCCTGTGCTTATTCTTCTGAGGTCTGGAATGGCATAATGTGTTGGCTTCATTTTTCCTGGAAATCGTGCGAATGGGATCATATCTTGGAATGGTTTTGTACAAAGTTAAGAGGAAAAGGATTCAAACAGGGAATCAAAAGAATGGCATTGACGGCTGCTATCTACAACATCTGGTATGAGAGAAATCTCAGAATCTTCCAACAGGAACAAAGAACTGCTGATCAAGTGATTAAGAGAATTAAGATGGACATGCTATCTGTTGTTCTCAATTCACAATTCCAGGAGGAGTATCGGGACTGGTTGCAAGATTTGTGAAACCTGTCAGTTCTTGAAGAGTACTTGAAGTTACTGTAACCAATGTATTCAGTTTGATCTCTCATTTACTATGAGATCTTGATGTATATACATTTCTTTCATTGGTAATGAATAAAATTTTCATTGACCAAAAAAAAAAAAAGCTCTAAGACCGAATATTGAGGGAACCTACAAGCAATAGCCAACAACCAGAAAATAATAAATACACGAGATTTACGTGGTTCGACAAAATTGCCTACGTCCACGGGAGGGGTGAGGGGAGATTCCACTATAAGGAGAACACCGACGACTTATACAATCCACAAGCTCGTCTAAAAGAAAAGAGATCTGATTGTACCCAAAAGAAATTAACCTCTCTCTTGTAAAATCTCTCTTTTTCTCTCCTCAAGATCTCTCTTTTAGATCTGAAAAACTCTACTTTTTCTCCTTAAAAAACCCTCTATTTTTCTTTAATAGCCGCAAGAACTCCTCTGTTTTTTTTTTCTTTGCCTCGCTGTAATTTTTCTCCCACACCGCAGCCGGCAAAAAAAATTCTACCCCACTCAAAAACCTAGGTAATACATGTATATTTATAGTGAGATCACGTAAGGGTCTTGGGTGAGCTTGTTCCCTACTCACATAAATGTCTTGGGTGGGCTTTGGGCCCGCTGCACATGTCCACGTTCACAGGTTCTCTCTTAATGTCCTGCTACTGCAGAGTATCTGAGGTAGGAAAATTGAAACAATACCAATAATGGAAATATAGAAGTTTGCATCTTAACATGGATGAAGATGAATTGAGAAATTTCTGATTGTATACTTGAATGTGATACACACCCATTGTGTTGTGCTCTGATTCTCCCTTGTTGCTTTATTTAACCCTGTATTTAGTCTAATCAGTAGATAATGTACAATCAGTCTGCCCCTTTTTTTGTTTTTTTACCCCTCCTCAATAAACTGAAACAATTGGCTCTACTAGACATGCGCAATAAAACATTGTTCTCTTCATTCATCAGTGCATTCATAGCTTTGGATTCTCCCTTTACAACCTTTTTTTTTTCGTGTCCTAGCCAATTACATGTCGTTTTTTTAATAGCTAGTGCAACTCCCTTTACAACCTTTTTTTTTTCGTGTCCTAGCCAATTACATGTCGTTTTTTTAATAGCTAGTGCAATGCTTCCTACTAAAACCAATCAGATTGGATTCCTCAACAAGATGAGGAGATCAGTGGCTATGTACGCAGTGTTAGTAGATGTGTTAAAGAGAATCCAAGGGATCAATCTTTAGACATTTATTCCTCTATTTATATATATCTTAAGAATAGCCTGGCATACAACAACCACCTCTTTCAAAGTATGAGTGCTCCCCTTCAGTATCTTCTGATGATGGCGCAAAATAAAGCCATTCCCTTCCTCTTATCATCTATCATCCTCTTATTGGTTAGTAATTTTCTTACTGTCCAAACTCTAGCCCAACTCTTGCCTATTGTTAACCCAAACAATGAAGCTAATACCCGTGAAATCCAAACCTACATTGTCCAAGTAGATGGGATCGACGATGCTGGACTCCTCAGCTATGAAGATCGTGAAATCCAAACCTACATTGTCCAAGTAGATGGGATCGACGATGCTGGACTCCTCAGCTATGAAGATCGTGAAAGTTGGTACATGTCCTTCCTTCCAAATACCACCCTCGACTCTGGAGAGCCGAGGCTTCTCTACTCCTACCGTCATGTACTCAACGGGTTCGCCGCTAGGCTAACTAACGAGGAGTTGAAGGCTATGGAATCCATGGATGGGTTTGTATC